TGAAGGCTGGAATAGAGCAAAAAGTCTGGCCTGACCATAAATAAGTAGGCACTCCCCTTGCCTGACTGATTGAGCTGGGACAATAGTTTTGTTATTGTTGTTGTTTGTTTGTTTCCCTGTCTTCTGACTCAAATTGTAACATCAACTACTCCTGGGTTTCAAGCCTGCAGGCTTTTGAGCTGGAACTTACACCATCATATCTCCTGGTTTTGAGGCCTGTAGATTGAGACGAGAACTGACACCATTGGCTCTCCTGGTTCTCAGGTCTGTGGATGTGGGCTGAAATGATACTATTGGCTTTCCCAGGTCAACAGCTTGCTGACTGAGTTCTTGAGACTTCTCAGCCTTCACAATCATGTAATTTCTAAATGTATATGTATATATATTTAGGAATATATATGTGTGTGTGTGAATATATATGTATATTATGCACACACACAGACATTATATATATAATTATATATATACATATATATAATGTATGTGTAAGTGTGTGTGCATAATCTCCTTTTATTTTATTTCCCTGGAAGAGCCTAATCCAGATTTTGGTACCTAGAATGACTCTACAGGAACAGAATTTAAGGCATGAGTTTTCTGAATTGGTTCTGAAATTCCTGGAATTGGCTCTCTTATCTGATTAGGTTTAAAGGCACTAGTAACACTATTTCTAGGAGTTAAGAGAACACACATAGTCCATGGCCTGAAATGGCAAAAGGGATAAACAAAATATCACCATTGGGTACTCCTAACCAACCATTTATAAGGATCAGGGACTTGGGTAATTGTGCCTATGATGCTTTTGAATATTCTTGGCAAAGTAGTGAATAGTAGGTTGACATGATTCTCCTAATAATGTTGCTGGAAAAAGGGGGAAAAATAAATAATTAGTTAGGAATTTGAGTTTCAAGCTTAAATGCTACATAAATGATTTGACAGCTTTTCTATCTGTCCCAAGGGAGACCTTTGTCTCCTACAGCTGTAGGGTTGAGATGCTGAAAACTAAAATCAGGCCTTCATCTTGAATTACGGTGCAAATAGACCCAGACTTATAGGTTGTGCACTGTTGAAGTGAGGGCACTGATTGGGAAAGAATGACATGGATAGGGAAGGAAAGTTGAAATGGGGCTATGTGGGAGGATCCTCATGAAATTGGAAACATTGAGCCCCTAAATTTTTCTTGCCGGCAGAAGAGACCTCTTCCTCGCCACTGGGAATGTGGCTTCTGCACTCTCATCTAAGGTGATTAACTATGATTGCCTGAGAAAACAACAATGACATCCCCTAAAAAAGTTGCCATAAAAGTAAGTCCATGCTGTTCTCCTAAGAACCCACACTTTTAGCTTAAGAATGCATTTTGGAAAAAAATACAATAATTAATATAAAAAGAAAAGTTAAAGAACCCACTGTCTTTGTTTCTGTATCTATACCAGACTTAAGGTCTGGTAGGTCTCTAAAGGCAGGTACAATGTGTTACATACAAGAAGGTATACTACACTCAAAATATCCACTTGGTTTTCTAAATATGTAGAAAGAAATCTGGGGAACATGGGTAGGAATAGATACTAAATGTATGGGATAATAGTAGAAGAAACATAAAGTTGCATCAGACAAAATTTATGGATGTGGCTCTACAAGAGGTGGTTGACAGTAATGCCAGACCTGCCTGGGTTTACTGTGGAGGGGATTCAAAGGTCTAGGGAGATTAGAATGTCACAGTGAGTTTGTCATTTAAAATCAACTCGCTCACACTGGGAAGATACAGAAGACATACCTTTCACCAATACTGTGAGAAATAAATTTGTAATGGAAAACCTAACATCATTTAAGTGCTCTGTGACTGTTCTTCTCTATAGGCCAGACTCTGCAGTGGGAACTGTTGTCAGTAAATTGGAAGACCTAAATACAATGTGAATAATTGGATCCTGGAGTGCCAGGGGTCAAGTGGTGGCACTCAGCGGCCCAAGTCAAGGTAGAAGTAGTTACTGTGAAGGACAGCAGAGATGAAGCAGCAATCAGAATAGTCTGACTTGCGCAGACCTCTGGTATTGGCTAATTTACCATGGGTGATCCTTGAAATGAAATAAGTAGGAAGCATACTAAATTTTTATTTGATCTGTATAAGCAGAAAATTTCTAGGTTAAGTTACCAAAAGTCTAACCTGAATCATGAAAACACAAAGACATGGCCCCGTCTCGATCAATTCCCAGGCTTGAGCCAGTTTACAGACCCAGAATCTCTTGAATAAGGAGGAATCGAAGTCCACTTATGGAAAGATCTGTGTACACTGCCAAAATTGATACTGTTATTCCTTCTCCCAGTCCTCCTCAAAGTAACCGATGGCCTTTAATATGGTAATTATATACTGGGAAAAAGGAAATAACCAGACCTTTCAATGACTACAAGATACTGGTTACAAACTAACACTAATCCCAAGAGACCTCAAAATTGTGATTCACCAGTCAAGATACAGAGTTATGGGAATCAGATGATCAGTGGAGTTTTAGCTTAGATCTATTTCTCGTTGAGCTCAGTGCATCTCTGAACCCATTCTGTGATTATTGCCTCAGTTATGGAATGCATTATTGCAGTAGATCTACTCAGTAGTTGGCTTAATCCCCACTTTGGTTCCATTACCTATGGAGTGAGGGCTATTAGGAGGAGAAAGACCAATTGGAAAACACTAGGATGGCCTCTACTTAGGAAAATAGCATACCTGTAAGAATGGCAGAGATTAGTGCCACTATCAGGATCAGAAAGATGCAGGGGTGGTTATTCCCACCACCTTCCCATTCGACTTGTCTGTGCAGAAAACAGATGGATCTGGGAGAATGATAATGGGTTATCATTCTCATGTTTGACCAGGTGATGACTACAACTCAAGCTGCTGTACCAAATGTAGTTTCAGTACGTGAACAAAATAATACATCCCCTGGTACCTGACATGTAGCTTACAAATTCCTTTTTCTCCATTTCTATCAAAAAGGATTATCAGGGGCAGTTTACTGTCAGCTGTCAAGGCTAGAAATACACCTTCGCTGTCCTATCTTAGGTGTATATTAACTCTCTAGCCTTAGGTTATAATTTAGTTTGCAAGGATCTTGATCACCTTCTCCTTCTAAAAGATATCACACTGGTCCATTACACTGGTGACATTATGCTGATTGGACCTAGTGAGCAAAAAGTAGCAACTATTCTAGACTTATTGATAAGATATTTGCATGTGAGAGGGTGGGAAATAAATCCCACAAGAGTTCAGGACTGAACACAATGAAATTTCTAAGGGTCCGGTGATATGCGGAATCTCAAGAGATCCCTTTTAAGGTGAAGGATATGTTGTTGCATCAGGATTCTATCAGGATTGTATTACAACTAAAAAAAGGGGGGGAGGGGCATAATGCCTAGTGAACTTCTTTGGATTGTGGGAGCAACACATTCCTTATTTGGGTGTTTTATTCTGGCATATTTACTGAATGGCCCAAGATGTTGCTAGTTTTTTTGTGTGGCTCACCTGTTACACAAACTACTATAGGTCCCAGCTGCTTTGCAAACTGCTCTGCCACTTGGGCCATATTATCCAGCAGATCCAATTGTTCTTGAAATGTCAGTGGCAGATAGGAATGCTATTTGGAGCTTTGGCATGACCTGATAGGTGAGTCACAGCTCAGATGCTTAGCCTGTGTCTGTTGCCTCATGGGAGTTTCCTACAATCAATCGACAGAGGAGGAGAAAACTCAGGTCTGGTTTACATATGCTTCTGCACTGTATGCAGAAAACACCTGAAAGTAGACAGTTGCAGCATTACAGCCACTTTCCAGGACATTCCTGAATGACACAGGTGAAGAGAACTTCTCCAAGGGGGTAGAACCATAGAATTGCATCTGATTGTTCACTTTTCTGGAAGGAGAAATGGTCTAATATGTGACTATATACTGAGTCATGCATGGTCTGTGACCTGTGGTTGACTGGATGGTCAGGAAATTGAAAAAAACATGATTGATAAATTAATAACAAAAAATTTGGGGAAGAGCTTTCTGGATAAACACATCTAAATGGGAAAAATCGTGGAGGTATTTGTACCCCATGTGAATGCTTCAAAAGGGGACATCATCAGATGATGATTTTAATAATTAAATTGACAGAATGATCCATTGTGTGGATACCAGACAATTTCTTTCTCCAGACTCTTTCATGACCCAATGAGCTCATCAAAATGTGGTTATGGTGTCAGAAATGGAGATGATGCATGAGGTCAGCAAAATCGACTTCCATTTACCAAGGCTGACCTGGCTACAGCCACCAATGGGTATTCAATTTGCCAGTAGCAAAGAACAACAGTGAGTCTTCAACATGGCACTATTCCCCAGGGTAATCAGCCAGCTACCTGGTGACAAGTTGATTATATTAGAATGCTTCCATCATGGAAGGGGCAGTGTTTTGCATTTATTTAGATAGACACTTACTCTCGATGCAAATTTCTCTTCCCTACATGCAATACTTCTGCCAAAACTACGGTCTATGAATTTTCAAGCTGTCTTTTTCACTGATACACTGTCTTATTCCACACAGCATTGCTTCTAATCAATACACTCACTTCACTGAAAATTAAATGTGCCAGTGGGGCCATACTCATGGAATTCACTGGTTATACCATGTTCCCCACCATCCTGAAGCAGCTGGATTAATAAATCTGTAGAATGGTCTTTTGAAGACTCAGTTACAGTTCTAGGTACATGACAATGCCTTGCTGGGCTGGGGCAAGTTCTCTAGAAGGCTATATATCTGGTCTCAATCAGCATCCAGTATATGGTGTGGTTTCTCCCATAGTCAGTATTCATGAGTCCAGGGTTGGAAATGGGAATGGCATCACTCACTATGACCCTTAATGACCCACTTGCAAAATTTTTGCTTCCTGTTTTCATGACCTTATGATCTGCTGGCCTAAAGGTTTTAGTTCCAAAGGGAGGAGACATTTCCACCAGTAGACAAAACAGTGACTCTATTGAACTGGAGGTTAAGACTCCTGTCCAGGGACTTTGGTTTCCTGCTGCCTCTAAATCAACAGGCAAAGAAGGGAGTTACTCTGCTGGCAGAGATGATTGATCCTGACTACCAAGGAGAAACTGACTACTCCACAGTGGAGGTATGGAAGGATATGTCTGGAATATAGTAGATTCCTTTGGATGCCTCTTAGTATTACTATGACTTATGATAAAGGTCAATGGAAAACTATAGCATTCAAATCAAGGCAGGATTATTAATGTCCCAGGCCCTTCAGGACACCCTTCATCTGGAGTTTGGGTAACTCTACCAGATAAAGAACCAGATAAAGGATTTTCTGAAGGCAAAGGAAGTACAGAGTGGCTAGTAGAGGAAGGCTGTTATAAATAACAGCTGTGACTGTGTGACCAGTTACAGAAAGGAGGACTGTAATTGTTGAGCATATCCCTCTTATCTTGTTGTCAATATGTTGCATGTATGTACATGCATGTATGTCTATACATATATATTTTTTCTCTTATTCTCTTATGTAACATAAGATGTATTCACTTTTACATCACTATTTAAATAGCATTTGAATATTAAATACATAGTATTTAAAAATGTTTTGCTTATAGTAATGCAAATGTAAGTTATTGGATATCAAAGAGAAAAGTAAATACTCAAGCACTTTACCTCCTCTTCTGAAAAAGAGGCTGGTGTGTTTTTAGCTGTATGCAGAATTGTATCAGGTGGAATTATAACCTTGTTATTGTCTTTATTTGGATAAAGGGTAGGTTTAAGGAGATGAATATAGGTGCCCATTTGAGAAGGAAAGGACTTATGTTTTTCCAGCTTTATTGAGGTATAATCAACAAATAAAAACTGTCTATATTAAAGCTGTAGAATGTGACATTTTGATATTAGTATGCATTGTAAAATGATTATCACAACTAATCTAATTAATATATTTATCACCTCATATAGTATATTAGTTCCTGTTGCTCTGCTATACAGGAATACCTGAGACTGGGTAATTTATACAGAAAAGAGGTTTATTTGGCTCATAGTTTTGCAGGCTGTACAAAAAGCATGGAATAGGATCTGCCTGGTTTGTGGTGAGGGCCTCAGGAAGCTTTTACTCATGGCAGAAGGTAAGGGGAGTCAGCATGTCACATGGTGAGAAAGGGTAGCAATATGGAGAGGAGGGAGGTGCCAGACTTTTTTCAATAATTAGATCTGCAGGTTACCTTCATGATGGCACAAAGTCATGCATGTTGGATCCACCTCCATGACCCAAACAATCCCACCCACCAGGCCCCATCTGACCTTGCAGATCAAATTTCAACATGAGATTTGGAGGGAACAAATGTGCAAAGTATATCACACGGTTGTTTATTTTTTTGTGGTAAGAACATTTAACACCTACTGTACTAAAAATCATAGTCACGATGCTCTACATTAGGTCTCCAGAATTTATTCATCTTACGTAATTGAAATTTTTTACTTTTTTTCAGACACCTCCTCATTTCTTCCATTCTCCAACCTCTGGCAACCACCAATCTACTCTCTGCTTCTATGAGTTTGACTCTTTTTTATTCTGTTTCACAAATACTGAGATTATTCAGTATTAGTCTTTCCGTATGGGCTTATTTCACTTAACATAATGTCCTCTAGGCTCATCCATGTTGTCACAAATGACAGAATTTCCTTCTTTTTAAAGGTTGAATAATATTCCATCTTATACATTACATATTATATGCATATTATATGTATGTATACAATGTTTTCTTTATCTGCATTTTCTTTATCCATTTGTCTGTTGATGGACACTTAGGTTGGTTCTATATTTTGACTCTTGTGAGTGATATTGCAATGAACATGGAAGTGCAAATATCTCTTTGAGACACTGATTTTATTTTCTTTAGATATATACCCAAAAGTGGGATTGCTGGATCATATGGTAGTTCTATTTTTAATTTTTTGGGCAACCTCCATACTCTTTTACATAATGGCTAAACAATTGAAATTCCCACTGACAATACACAAGCGTTTTCTTTTCTCAGCATTCTTGTCAACACTTACCTTTTGTCTTTTTTTACTATAGCCATTATTTTCTTATTGATACAAAATATTTTACATATTTATAGAGTACATGTGAATGTTTGTTACATGCATACAGTGTGAGTGATCAAGTCAGGGTGTTTGTGTTTTCCATCACTTGGAGTATTTATTATTTCTTTATGTTGGTGGTATTTCAAGTCCTCTGTTCTAGCTACTTTAAAATACACAATACATTGTTGCTATCTGTCATACTCTGGTATTGACTATTGAGACTCATTTCTTCTAACTTGTATTTTTGTACCCACTAACCAATCTTTATTCTCCTCTCCACCGACATGCTCTTCCCAACCTCTGGTACCTATGAATCTATTACGTATCTCCATGAGATAAAGTTTTTTAGCTCCCACCACATATGAGTGAGAACATGTGGCTTCTGCCTTTCTGTGCCTGGCCTATTTCACTTAATATAATGACCTCCAGTTTCATCCACATTGCTGCAAATGACATGGTTTTATTCTTTTTTTTGGTCACGTGAATAGCATTCCATCATATCTATATACAGCATTTTCTTTATCCATTTATCTGTTGATGGACACTTAGGTTGAGTCCACACTTTTGCTATTGTGAATAGTGCTGCAGAATTTCTCACTGTGGTTTTTTTTTTGCATTTTTTTGATGATTTCTAGTGTTGAAAATTTTTTCATATATTTCTTTGCCATTTGGATGTTTTCTTTTCTTTTCTTTTTCTTTTTTTTTTTTTTTTGAGATGGAGTCTTCTGTCACCCAGGCTGGAGTGCAGTGGCGTGGAATCTCGGCTCACTGCAAGTTCCACCTCCTGGGTTCACGTCATTCTTCTGCCTCAGCCTCCCAAGTAGCTGGAACTACAGGTGCCTGCCACCATGCCCAGCTAATGTTTTGTAGTTTTAGTAGAGACGGGGTTTCACTATGTTAGCCAGGATGGTCTCAATCTCCTGACCTCGTGATCCACCTGCCTCGACCTCCTAAAGTGCTGGGATTACAGGCGTGAGCCACTGCGCCTGGCCCCATTTGGATGTTTTCTTTTGAGAAATGTATATTCAGTTTCATTTAATATTTTCTTCCGTGCTATAGGTTGTCTCTTGACTCTGTTTATTGTTTTTTTGATATGCAAAATTTTTATAGATTGATATAGTTCCAGTTGTCTATTTTTGGTTTTGATGCATGTACTTTGGGGGTCATAGCTAAAACTCATTACCTATACAAATGTCAAGAAGTCTTTTTCCCTGTCTTTTTCTAGTTGTTTTACAGTTGCAAGTCTTAATGGTGACGTACTTAATTCATTTTGAGTTGGTTTTGTATAAGGTCCAATTTCATTGTTCTCCATGTAAGTATATAGTTTTTCCAATACCGTATATTGAATAAACTATCATTTTCCTATTGTGTACATCTGTTATCTTTGCCAAATTCATTTGACTTTATATCCATGAATATACTTCCAGGCTTTCTGTTCTTTTCCATTGGTCCCTATGTCTGGTTTTATGCCGGTATGATTTCGTTTTGATTACTATAGCTTTGTAGTATATTTTGAAATCATGTAGTGTGATGCCTCCAGTTTTATTCTTCATTCTCAAAATTTCCTTGGCTAGTCTGGGTCTTTGGGTCCTATATGAATGTTAAAGAAATTACTTTCTACTTACGTGAAAAATCACTTTAGAATTTCATTACGGATTGCACTGAATCTGTACATAGTGTTGTATAGGATGCACATTGTAATAATATTAATTCTTCCAAACCAGGAACATGAGATCTCTTTATTTAATTGTGTCTTTTTCAATTTCTTACACCAGTGTCACAGTTTTCAGTGTATATCACTTTCACTTCCTTAGTTAAATGTACTCCTAAGTATTTTAAAAATGATATTGTAAATAAAATAATTCTCTTAATTTTTCAAGATAGCTTGTTTATTGTATAAAAACTTTAGTGATTTTTGTATCCTGCAACACTACTAAATTTGTTTATTAGTTTTAACAGTTTTTTGGTGGAGTATTCAGAGTTTTATATATGTAAGATCATGTCATCTGTAAACAAAGGCAGTTTTATTTGTTCCTCTCTGATTTGGGTGCCTTTTATTTCTTTTCCTTGATGAATAATTGCTCTGGCTAGGACTTCGAGTACTATGTTGAATAGAAGTGATGTGACTAGGCACCATTGTCTTGTTCCTTATTTTAGAGGAAAAGTTTTCAGCTTTTTACTGTTGACTGTAATGTTATCAGTGGACTTGTCATATATGGCCTTTGTTATGACAAACTACATTATTCCTGTATTTAATATGTTGAGAGTTTTTATCTTGAAAGGATGTTGAGTTTTGTCAAATGATTTTTCTGTATCTATTGATATTATTTATTTTTTATCATCCATTCTTATAATATGATGTATCACATCTGTTGATTTGCTTATATTCAAACATCCTTTCATTTTAGAGATAAAATCCACTTAATCATGATGTATAATCTTTTTTTAATGTGCTGGTGAATTTGCTTTGCTAATATTCTGTTGAGGATTTTTCCACCTCTGTTCATAAGGAATATTGACTTGTAAACATAAAATCTACCAAGACTGTATCATGAAGAATTAGAAAATATAGGTAGACCAATAATGAGTAAAGAGGTTGATTCAGTAATCAAAAAACTCTCCACAAACAAAAGCCCAGGATGTATGTTCTATCAAACATCTAAAGAAAAATTAATGCCAATCATTCTCAAACTCGTACAATAATTGAAGAGGAGGAAATTACCCAATACATTTTATCATCAGTATTAATTACGCCAACACCAAAACCAGCAAAGATATTACAAGAAAACAAAATTATAGGCTAATATTTTAGTGATGGTTAATTTTATGTGTCAATTTAATTAGTGATGGTTAATTTTATGTGTTTGGGCCATAAGGTGTGGAAATTTTGGTCAATCATTATTCTCAGTGTATGTATGTAGATGCTTTTGGATGCAAATAACATTTGATTTGTAAGACTGAGTAATATAGATTGGCTTTCCCAATGTGAGTTTCCCTAATTTAATCAAAGACTTGAATAGAACAAAAAGCTGACTTAATCTTAAGGGA